CCATTAATATTCGTGCTCGTGCCGTGCCGTGCCTCATTTAAATGGGCTGGGCTCGTGCCGTGCTGGGCCGGCCCGTCCCGTTTGACACCTCTACTGTGAATAATGCTCTCAATACAGAACAAGACTTGGATGGGACTGGGTGTGTTGTGTAGAACGGGGGGTGTGAATGGAAGTTTTGTTAACTAAAAGCCCATATGACAATGCAGTGGGTTCCAAGTGCTGAGTTGGCGCAATTTCATTAGAAACTACCCGTAAAGGCTTGAAAGGGAAGGCAACCGTAGAGAAAACAATCTCCTCTCGCCAACACAACACAACAACACAGCCGAGGTATCTTCTCCTTTTTGTACTTGAACTGTCTCTGACAATTTCCTGGTGACTTTTTTACTGTTTATTTAATTTTCACAAACCTTCAAAAACAAGAAAAGAAAAAAAGAGGAACAAGAAGAAGAAGAAGAGGGCAAGCATCTAATCGCAGTAGAAAAATCATGGAGGGGAGCAGTGGCAAATCCATACTTCAATTCGCACCGTTTCAGAGCTCGGTGGACGAGGGTTTCTGGCACCGACTGTCTTCATTGAAGCTCAACAAGTTTGGCATCGATGACTCTCCCATTCCCATCACTGGTTCGCTTCCTTTCATTGTTTTTCTCTAATCAGATTATGAAATTTCTGGAAACAAGAAAAGAAAGAAAATTTCAGCTATATCAGATCGTGATTTTTGGAAATTCCTTTTCTATATTCTTGTTAAAATATGCTGTGTAGTGTCTGAGTTCTTTTGTTTTGTAAAAATTGGTGATTTGTACTGTTTTAGGTGCTCAATGATCAAGCATTTGGACTATGAGGGGGAAAAAAAAAAGTCGACTTTTACATTTGCTGAGTAAATTTGAGGAAGCAGGAAAAAGCAGCACAAGTTTTAAATTCTTGTGTCATATTGAGCACTAGCAAAAATAGTAACTCATGAAACTAACTAAAAAAACAAAGCTTTAGTTCAGAGATGAATGCTATACAATGTTCTTAAATTCTATTATCCAAATGTAAATTTCTCTATAATCTGAGATATGGACCGACCCTGCTCCAGGTTTCTATGCACCGTGCTCACATTCTCAAGTATCAAATCATTTAACTCTTCTAGCTGAGTCTTTGCCTTCGGATTCAAGTGAAGAATCAGAGGTACCAGAAATAAGTCGAGGGAATAGGAACAGATGCTCCGTCCCTGGCATCCTTTACAACACCAATACGGTAGAAAGGTTTCATGGACTTGACAAACAGGGCTTACTTAAGGCAGAAGCACAAAAGGTATTGCCTTCAAATGGATTTAGTTTCTAAATTTGTTTAATTTTTTGGATGAAAGTATTACATCTTTGAATGACAGTAAACTATATGATTCAGTTGAAATATCGTGTAGGTAGATGAATCTGATTGCTAAAAGTGAATTTAAAATGATCCATGTTATGTCTTGCTTCTTTTCTGTAATCAGATTTGGGAGGACATCCATAATGGAAGAGCTTTGGAGGACAGTTCAGTACTTTCCAGGTTCCTCCTTATCTCTTTTGCAGACCTGAAAAAATGGAGCTTTCATTACTGGTTTGCTTTTCCTGCTCTGGTGCTTGATCCTCCAGCAACCTTGGTTGATTTGAGGCCAGCTTCACAATGTTTTAGCTTGGAGGAGGTATGTACGATATTTTTCTTATTGGATGCACAGTGGCAAGGCATTTAGATTTCATCCCTAACTTCAACACTAATTTCATATGTATTAGGCGGAATCTCTTTCAGCAGCGTTTAATGAGTGGCGTAACTCAAGCTTAACAGCAGGTTTATAATGTCTCCTGTGTTATTTTATGGATTGTCTGTAGAAACATCTTATGTGCTCATATGTTCAGATGCAAGCTTGTGATTTCGGTGGCTTGTGTTTTATATATAGGCATGCATAGTTTACACTTGCTTAGTGTTCCTTTCTAACCTAAGTTATCTGATTCAGATGTGCCGTTCTTTTTGGTTCAAATTGATACAAATTCACACGCTACTATTAAGCATCTAAAGGATTGGGAAACCTGCCAAAGTGCTGATGGTCACAAGGTCTGTCTCCAAACTTTTTCTTTCAAACTATAGCTAATCATTTAGGTGATGGGAAACTGGAATGAATTTAGATATTAGATTTTGGGGTTCAACTTCCTTAGAGCTGCCTTGCATGCCATTGCAGTTACTATTTGGCTTTTACGATCCATGCCATCTTCCAAACAATCCTGGTTGGCCTCTTCGCAACTTCCTTGCACTTATTTGCTCAAGATGGGATATAAAGTCTGTTCACTTTTTATGCTATAGAGAGAATCGTGGTTTTGCAGATCTGGGATTGTCCCTTGTTGGTGAAGCTCTGATTACAGTTCCACAAGGTAGAGCTGCAGAAATTGGGTAACAGCTTATTTTTTATTAAGTTTCTTTCTTCTACAGTTTGAATATGCTTGCATTTTTAGGTACTCTAACTTGGATTTTTATATCTGTTTAGGATGGAGAGATCATCCTTATGTACCTAATGCAGTGGGGTGGGAACTTAACAAAGGGAGAAAAATACCCAGGGGTATTAGCCTGGCTAAATCTATGGATCCAACGAGGTATGTCGTTTGTATTGGCTCTCTGTAGTCGATAATGTTAGTTGTCCTTTGTCATCTCGGTGTCTTATGATAACTTGTACAGGCTGGCCATATCTGCTGCAGATTTGAATTTGAAACTAATGAGATGGCGTGCTTTGCCTTCGCTGAACTTAAATAGCTTGTCTTCTCTCAAGTGTCTCCTCCTTGGAGCAGGTACACTTGGATGCCAGGTTGCTCGCACGCTTATGGTGAGTGCTCCAAACTTTCAAAAAAAATCTGGTTCTATTCTATCTATTTGGGTGACTGAAGATTATGAATTTTACAGGCTTGGGGTGTCCGCAGA